TCCACCTTTCCATCTACTCCTCTTTTCCTCTTGTAGACCCATTTGCATCCTATGGGTTTTATTCCATTTGGTGCATCTACAAGATCCCAGACTGAGTTAGTGTACATGGACTTCATTACTGAATCCATGGCACTTCTCCATTGGTCAGCGTCTGTATCCTCCATAGCTTCTCTGAATGAGATTGGATCATCTTCTTGCTCAGTAGAAACTGTCTCGAAAGACTCTCCATAGAGTAAGTATCTGGATGGTAACCGAGTGATCCTCCCACTACGTCGAAGCCGTTGAGGTTCTTGGTTGATTGGAACTTGTAACTGTCCTATGACTTCTTCTCTTGCATCATTACCATGTGGTGATGAAACAATCGGGACTTCATCCTCCGTCACTTCTTGTCTAGCATTTCAGCGGGTATGACAGGTGAGATTCCCACTTGTCTCCCACTATGCTTAGAGACTATCGGTGAAATAGGCATGAATTCTTCTTGAGCAGGTTCAGTGCGGATCTCTGGACTAGATGAGCTTGGAATGTTTCCTCTCATTTCATCCAAAAGAACCTTGCTCTTGGATTCATGTTCTTCTATGTACTTGTCCTCTAAGAAGGTTGCATTTGTACTCACAAATACCTTCTTGTCCTGAGGACTATAGAAGTAATATCCTCTCGTTCCTTTAGGATACCCTACAAATATACATATTTTCGATCTTGATTCTATCTTATCTGTCTTTCCCTTTAGCACGTGTGCTGGACATCCCCATATCCGAATATGTCTTAGATTGGGCTTACGCCCATTCCACAATTCCAAGGGTGTTTTAGGAACAGACTTGGACGGAACCATATTCAATAAGTATACTGCTGTTTGTAGAGCATATCCCCAAAACGATGTTGTGAGAGTTGAGAAGCCTAACATAGATCTGACCATGTTTAATAATGTCCTATTTCTCCTTTCTGAAACACCATTTTGCTGGGGTGTTCCCGGTGCACTCAGTTGGGATAGAATCCCATTCTCTAATAAGTATGTTCTAAAGTCATGTGATAGATACTCCCCACCTCGATCTGATCGGAGTGTTTTAATGGTTTTACTTAATTGCTTTTCTACTTCAGTCCTGAATTCCTTGAACTTTTCAAGGGCTTCAGACTTGTGAGCCATTAAGTATACATAGCCGTATCTTGAGTAATCATCAGTGAAAGTGATGAAGTACTCATACCCACCTCTAGCTTGGACACTAATTGGTCCACATACATCAGAGTGCACTAATTCCAAAACTTCTTTGGCCCTATACCCTTTAGAAGTAAAGGGTCTCTTGGTCATTTTACCTTCTAAACAAGATTCACATACCGGAAAAGATTCCACCTTTAATTTATTTAAAGGACCATCTTTTACCAGTCTTTGGATTCTATCAAGGTTAATATGATCAAGTCTAAGGTGCCACAAAAAAGTCTCATTAGTGGGAGACAATCTCAAGCCTTTTTTAAAGCATTGACATTATTTATAGAGCCAACAGCACAATTTAAAACATACAAATTGTTAACCATTTGTCCAGACAAAAAAGAGATTTATTCAATTTAATATCTAGCAAACCGCGCCAAAACAACTGAATATCCATACTCAAATAAACAAGCCATGGAAATTAAATTCCGTTTAGCATCTGGAACAAAATAACAATTTTCTAAATGCAAATGTTTATTGTGCTGAAAAATTAGAAAAATAGATCCTATGGCTCTGGCAGACACTAGTTCTCCACTGCATCCTCTAAGAGTGAACTCCCCTTCACTGAGCTCCCTGGTTACCTGGAACCCCTGCAAAGAATTGCAAATATGATTAGTGGCTCCAGAATCTACTATCCAGGTATCTGTAGAATCAACCACTAAACAAGACTCAATGTAAGATAACCCTCCATTACCTGGCTTCTTGCGAACTAGGTATTCCGGACAGTTTCTCTTCCAATGACCCTTCTGTCCATAATGAAAACATTTCCCTTTGGGTTTTTCATCTGTCTTTACTTTCTTAGCTTGTGGCTGTATGCTCTTCTTGTTTGACTTCTTCCTCTTATTACCTCCTTTGCCTTTCGGCTTGGAAGAGGATGGTCGATCAGAAGAAAATACATGGGCTTCACCATGCTTAATTTTTAGAACAGCCTCTGCATTTTG